AAAATGAAAGGTGATGGCTTGCAGCCACTAAGCAAACAGCTGCAGCAGCTGGAAGGCCTTCCTCCCACCATGCTGCCCATGGCCTGGTGTTGCCCGTGAGCAGGACGGGGTGAGCAGGATGGGCACACACTAGCACCTCGCTGGCTCTCTGCTATGGGGGCCCCGGTGAACACACTTCCTTCCGCCGGCTGCAGCCTGCTGCAGAGGGGCAGTACCAAGGAGCTGGAGGCAATGACATTTCAAGCACTGCAGATGTTTGCTCAGTGGATGTGAGTCAGTCTTTAATTTCCAAGCTCTTTGTTATCTCGGTGGCTCCTCTCTAATCTCTCCATTTTGTCCTTCCTGGAGATGAGGAGTAAATCAGGAGTTTTATGTTCCACGTGCCAGGTGTCTCTAACACTGAACAAAAACGGATATAGTCGCTTCCCCACCTCCCAGCGTGATACTGCTACGTATAAAGCCTGTTATTCTTTTTTGTTGTTTAAGTGAATAGTCCGTACACAGTGTTTCAGACTCAGTGTTTCATTATTTATATCTATGGTGTCTTACTGGTCATGTTGCTCTTCTTTGAAAGAACTTTCAAAACTATGAGCAAAGAAAGACATATCACATCTCAGGCTTTGCAGGAACAAAAACAGTTTGTGTGAAACTCAAGTGCTGGATTCTGATGACTTGTAACTGACCAAGAGGAGTTCTTGGCAAAACTCCCTTTGAGAATAAATTTGAGTTATATTTCAGCTTTTAACCAAATTATCTTGAATTCCATAGTTAAAATTACTTAGCATGTCTTGGACATTTGCCATCCCCAAGACGGTTTGACTGTGGGTAGCGTGCGGTGAAGGAAGTGCTTAGTGAGTGTGCAAGGGCATGTGACAAAAACCATACCCTGAAACAGACGAGATGATGTCCAACCCGACAACTTGCCCAAAGGCCTCTCATATACTGGATCAGCTTTTGGGCAGCCGTGTGTTTTAAGATGGCACTTTTTGAATGGTATCATTTGCAGGATATGAAAAAATATGGCCTGTGAATTAAGCCATCAATCACCATTACCACCAGGAGTGATGATGTTACCATTAAGAAGACAACTTCTAATGAAGTGTTTTCTGAGATTGCACCTCTTCCAGGTACTGCCCAGAAAGGATTCATGTTTGAGACAACTGAAGAAATAGAGTTCGACTGTCTGTATTACCATATATTTTCAAATACAAACTTTTTGAGCCCATTACTGCTATTGCAGAATTTTAACAGTCCAGAAAACTGGAGTTGCAGGGACTTTGTTTGTTTGTTTGTTTCAGAAAGCAATAGCAAAAATTACTTTAGTTCTTGGAATGTATTCTAATGGCTTGTGAAGGTCTCAGTGTCCTTGAGAAAACTAAACTCATTTTAACTTCTTGTGTCATCTCACAGTTCTCCTTCTGAAGTCTGTGACTAGTTGTAATCTTTCCCATATTCTGCAAGGAGCACACAATGAATAAATTATCTGTAATCGGTTTTACAAGACATGTCATGGGATGTTTAAAGAGAAAGCCAAGCTTCTAGGCCAGAGCAGTACTTTTTCTACTAAACAGAGGGGCCAGATCAGTTACCAAACACAGATCCTAGAGGTTCCTTTGGAAGGGTCATTAGATCTTTCCTGGTTTTCTCTTGGGGTGATTCCTGCTTCAAGGATCATTTGCCCATCAGAGTAGAAAAGTTTGAATTGAGAGCAAAATTCTCATTTATTCTTGTTAATTTACTACGTGTGTGTTTGGAGAGACAGGTTTGATGGCAGGTCTCTGGAAGTTTTCATTCTGAAAAGGTTTAAGGCTGGGCAGAGCAGTAGGCACAGTGATGGGAAGCTATTTGGATTGCTGCAGTCAATCTACAGATGATTATTTGCTGCCTTTCAATGTGAATTAGGAATAAAGCTCAGTCTAGGAACTTTTGCCAACATAGCTTTTTTTAATTTGTGTTTATTTCGTAACATTTCTTGAATGAAAAGGCCTTATAAGTATATTACTGCTGCTTCCAGTATAGCTCAGCATCAACATGTGGGGAATTTTTGTTAGTTGAAGCAATTTTTAGTTTTCTTCCCACAGCATTTGTGGCATCTACACTTGAGGTGGCAATTTGCTTAGATCAGCTATCCCAGTGTTGGGTTAGGGTTTGCTCTGTATATGTCTAAGGTAAAGTTATATTTGCAAAAATTTGCGGTTTGCATAGTGTTTTTTTCCAGGTATCACACTTATATCACCTTCTCCCTCTGAATCTGCAAGCACTTCACAAACTGAGTGTTATTGTTGCTGTTACCATCTTCATTTTACAGATGGAGGTGCTAAGGATGAGGCAGTTACCATTTGCCAAAGATTTGTGATGAGTTCATGCTGTGACAGTAAAAGTCTTAGTCCCCAGCGCCATTGCTTTCTCTTCACCCTTCTCATGTTTTGGCACTGAGACCAGGTTTTCTCATACTCAGAATTATTTCACTCAACAAGTTTTTTGTTTTTAAGGTTTTGCTTTGGTGTTTTTATTAGTAAATCACTTAATCTACCAAGAACCTGAGGCAGATCCAAAGATGTGCCTGCTGTCACGGTGCTTCAGGAGCAACTCTTCTGCCTGAAACCTGGAATCTGCCAAAATGATTGCTGCTACTTCTGTTGGCACTACTTGCACTAAGACTTCACTCCAATTTCATTCATTCAGTTTTCTCTAGAATCATTGGTTAAAGCGAAAAAAAAAAACCAAAACACTGCAAAGATTCCTTGCAAATAAGCCAGCAAGTGTTTTCCTGCCAGTCCTGGGCCTTGCGACTCCAGAGAGGCAGAAGGACGAAGCAGGAGCTGCACGTCAGTGAGCTGTGAAGCCCGCTCTCCTGCACGCTCCTTGCCTCACCAGGGTGCTAATTTCAGCACCTGCTTTTGAAACACTTTAATGGGGAATTTATTAAGCACAGGCAATGTCAAGGCAGTTCTGAAAATCCTCCTGGGGGACCATGATGCAAAACAACACCCAAAGGGAAAGCTGCTCTGCTTGAATCTTAGACAAACCTTTACACAAGTTTTTAAATGCCAGGGGATAGAGATCTTGGTACAGAGGTTGTCAGGTCTATTAAGGAGTTGTTTATTTTAGGATCTCATGGTCACAAGAAGCTTCAGGATTCAGCAGGCTCGATCTTTGCCACCTCAGCAGTTGCTGTCTCCTGTGGCTTCATCCTTTTATAAAAAGATCGTGCTTCTCTTCCAAAATAGGTAGACTTTTTTATCCCTGCAGCCTCTGGGAAGATCATTCCAGAATGTCACTGCTAAAACCACCCTCTGCTTGCCAGTCTGCATTTATTTATCAGCAGCCTAAATCCATTTATTGTTTTTTATTGTGCCAACATTTTAATATCCAAGCGGTCACTCCCCTGGTGTCTGTAGTGGAAATCTCCTGTAGAAGAGTTGAAAAGGACCTAGCTCACATCCCCCCACCACCATCCTCACACTAGGCCATACCAGGCCTTGTCTGCCACTATAACCACGTGCTTAGTTGCTCTTTCAGTAGAAAATAGCAGATCCTGTCCTACTGTAAGCCTCAAGCCTTGCCTTTAAACTTTGCACCTGAAATTTGGACAGTTTGGGCTCTTGAGGAAATGTTAAGAGCAAATGTACACTTTAAAACTACATTTGTGAGCAAGTATTTACATGGGAAAAAACTGTTCATTTGCAAAGCCCTTTGAGTGGTGAGGATGTGGTAGAAATGAGAAGTGTTAGGTCCAGTAAACTTAATTTGAAAGACGCAGATGTCATAACTGAAGAAGCGAACTATGTCCTCCTGCCTTGACCTAGTCCACTGCAAGAGCTGGGGATGCTTCTCTTTTCTTTGGTTGTATCTGAGCAGTTTGACGGGTTTGAGGTAGCCCTGAGAATTTGAAAATATCCCCAAATAAATCTGGCATCTGAGGGTTCACCAAGTACCCTAAGGTGAATAGTTGTTTGGCAATACCGCAGGAAATTCATTCACAAAATGGGAATTGAGAGAGTTGTGGTGCAGGAGCTTGTTTGTGAATAACATCTTGTTGCTCAGCACCATGCTGGAGTTGTAGCTCAGCCAAGAGTGATCGAACCCTGGAAAATATTGGTCTTTTAGTTGATTTGCATTGCCGATGAGGAAATATCTCACTGTAGCAGACTTGTCTGATCTGCCTTTGGTGTTATTCTTGGTGCTTTTATGCAACACATCTATCAAAGGAGAGATAACCTGATCTCTAGGTAATAACTGCTTGGCACAAGATAGGCATTACTCTTTCTTCCTATGATACATGAGCTTAGGGATTTGTTTTTGTCTGTTTCTGTCCTTGTTCAGAGTAAGTTTAACCATACACGAAGCATCCTCTGCATATCCTCTTTATGAAAAAAATGTAACATATTCAAATACCTGGAATACAGATATTAGAAGAGAGTCCTGGGATAACTATATCCCTTTGTTCCACCCACTTAGCTACAGCATGGACACAACATATTTTATGTTTTAAAGTAAGAGGCAACATGGAGAATATACAGAAGACAAACACTGAATATTGAAATGGGACTTGGACATGCAAATAATTTTTATTCCTTGATTTGTAGATGGCTAATTTTTAATTTTTTCCCCTCCTGAAACACATAGGATTGGTTTGCTCACTGGTTTATAAATACAAGTACTGCCTTCAGCAGTTGGTTGTGGGATCAGGTAAATCTGTAAGGTTAGTGAAGTTGATCTCCTTAAGGCATATAAAGTTACTACTGTTCTGCAATGCATTTAAGTTATAAGCTGAGGTGCTTCTAACAACACAAAACTGGTTGGTAGGCATGGTCCCTCTTGTTCAGGTATCAATCGTTTCTTCTGGTGATAGTGCCTGCTATTGGTGGTATACATCTAGGGTTTTTTCTTGTGTTTTATTTAGGTTGCTGACACTGTGGCTGCAGGTTGCTCACTAGATACCAAGCAAACACTAATATTTGGAGAAACACTTGGATACTTACAATTCCTTACCCAGGATGCCTTTCAAAGCTGGATTAGAACTGACTGAATTGCAGAATATGACTGTCCCTGAAGATGATAACATCAGCAATGATTCAAATGATTTCACAGAGGTGGAAAATGGCCAGATAAATAGGTGAGTATTTTTCCACTGACGTTGCCTGTGCTAAGAAACACACTGTTTAAAAACAGCATTCTAATTTTCAGTATATGTCTTGAATTATTCATTACTAAGTCATGCTCCATTTGAAGATGTAATTTGAATTTCTTATGTGACATCTGTTGGGCATAGGCTGCAATAGCAGATAAAGCAAACAGAGTGGCAATTTATTCATAATTTTGAATCTTTCAAATTAGTCTAATAAAATGCACAAACATATAATGGGGCAAAAGAGCCAACATTTTGTAATATCTGCTTGCACACAGTAAAGAAGTAATAGTTAATACAATTAGACCAACAGTGTAATCTGAGGCAAATTGTTTTGTTGACCTTTGATTTCTGATATGACAATTTTAACCTGCCTGGCCACCTCCATGCACCCAAGCTCCTGGGGATTTGCAGCTGGTGGTGTTGGCAGCAGCTGTGGTCCCAGTCCATGTTCACAACTGGGCAAGGTAAACTGGGCAGTGGGTGTCGCTTCCTGAAGCAAGGAGAATGGCAATAAGCTGGTAAAACAGAGACCTATACCTAACTCAAGTCAAGTCTAAAAAATGTATCTATTTATTAACATTGATTAAAATCATTACATTGTTTAAATTAGGCCGTACGCTTTTTGTGTAAGCTGCACAGTCATTTCAAAGAGCAGCCTGCTCCACCTGAGAGTGGTTCTCCAAGCCTTCCTACCAGCCTCCAACAGGTGCTGAGCCCTCCTCTTCACAGCACAGATGGGCCCTGCTTGGGTTTTGTAAGCTGTAAAACAAGAAGCTGTTTTTTGATCAAACTTCCTGGTCAAATACTGCAAACAGAGGTGGAGCATGCTGGCCTGCCAGTGCCTGCACTGGGATCCAGTCCTGCCCCACACTGATGCTGCTGGGAAGTCTCTGCCAGCACCTTATCCTGCTCCTTCACCACTGGGCTGCCGTTGCCTCGCTTTTATGGTCTTTAAAAATCTTTTCTCTTGGCCTTTCTTCCTTTTGGCAGCAATCTCTCTGGTTACCCAGGGAAACTCGCTTTCAAGTGTAAAAACAAAATGGAAAGCTGTTTTTCCCCCAGTGAGGGGAGAGTCGTGTGGCTCTCGTGGATGGACAGGGAGTTTGGCAGCAGGCACAGGAATAAGCTCCTGGCATTGACTATAGCATGCATGTAGTGAAACCAGCCGGCCATATCCCAAGACCTAGCAAGGGGCCCTGGCTGGCATTGTGGGTGAGCTCCTCACCCCAGCAGGAGGGTGCCAGCCTGCCCCCCTCACTGCCCGCCCTGGGGGGAAGTCCTGGGGCGGTCGCCAGTAGTGGTGTGACCGCACAGCTGCACCGATGAAGATCAGAGCTGGTCAGGAATTTTCTGATGCAACTGCTTTGATGGAAAGTGCCAAGACGAAACAAAAACCACTTATGTAAAGAAAAAAAAAAAGAAAAAGGCAAGAGCAAGGAAAAAAACAACCTCTTCAACTTTGCCAAAACAAAACACTTCCAGTATGAACCTGCTTGCTTTCTTGCAGGCTTGCTTCATAACGCATGGAGCTCAGGGGCTGGCAGTGGTAAATTCGCTCCCTGGAGCCTGCTGAGGATTTAGATCTCTGAGAGGAGTGGCTGTGCTGGGCTGGCTGCACCTCCCCAGCGCTTTGGCTGGTGCCACCAGTAACTGTTATGGGGAAAAACCCTGTTAGCACTTCATCTTCCAGTGAATATTTCTGGAGAGTGGGGAAGGAGCATGCTGTGTGTGCCTGATCCTCAGTGGCCACGACGTGCTCTGTGGAGTTAGGGGGTAGTAAGCGTGGCAATGTCTGGGTCGGATCCAGACTGCCTGCAAAGGGAAGAAGAAAAGTGGGGTGAGGAAAGACCATCCAGAAACTCAGAGGCAGACTTTCTGATGACTGTTCTGGCTCCTAGGGCAGGTGAACATATTCCACAATTTTCTATTCCCTTCTGGATAGCTTTTTTCCTCTGCACAGCATCATTTGCTTGTAGCATGTAGCTCATTACGGTTGTCTTTTTTCCCTCTGCCAGGGTCCTCATGGGATAGTGACTTAATCTCATGCATCCAAACAGGAGTATTTTTCCCTATATATCCCAGTATGTTCATGTTTCCCTCCAAGTCTAAACCAGGAGTTAGAAGGCAGCTTGTGCTGAGCGTGGCTTCCAGTGGAGCAGCATCTTGGCACTGGTGCAGCCCCATCGGCATCCGCTGGGGCTGAGACACTCGCAGCCACTGCCCTGTGCAAGCACCTCCACAGCAACACAAGTGATGAGCCAGTGGGAAGACTGTGCTCTGTGCCCTGTGCCAAATACATCCTGAAAGGATGTGGTCATTCCCTTTCTATTACTATTTTGAAAAACGCCTTGTCTCCATGGAATACGAGGTTAACAGGCATACAGAAGGAATAATTTTGTGCTGCCTGACACACTGTGTAAGGCCTTGCGAAAATCCAAAGTCCATCAAAATCAGTGGGACTTTTTCTGTTGATTTCACCTGGGCTTTAGATTAGATCTGTAATTTTCAACTAACATTTTTTTGCTGTTTCAACGGGTTTGATTTTGCACCCTGTACTTAATTTTAAACTTTTTTTTCCCCAGTGCATAATTTTTCCAGCTCAGTGTAGGGCGGAGTTTTTAAGGGTCTTTTGGAGAAGATAAACCAGGGAGAAGCTGATTCTAGGTCTGGTTTTAAACCCCAAATATTTATTGATCTTGGAAAATAATTCGCTAGTTTACTTTGGATTTCCAGCCTTTTCTGGGCCTAAACATGCATTTATATATGTAGTTGTATGTAGGGAGGGGATTTTGTTTGGAAGGCACTGTTTTGGGAGGGGTTTTTCTTTGTACACAGTTTTTTAATTACTTCTAGGAATGTTGATAAAGAGACATGCATCAAATCCAGACATGGATTTGGTATCTTTTAACCATGTATCCTGGCAGTAAGAATTTGCCATCTCTTCACATTACTGTAAACCAGTATTTAGATGACCTACTGCTTCTCTGTAACTACAGCAATACTCTCAGGATGCTGCTGGCTGAATATCTGTCTTGGTTTACAGCTACTAGTAAGTTATCAGCACCCCTTGTCTGGTTGACAAGGTTGTTAGTAGATATACCCAGATCTGGTCCAAGTTTCAGAGTGTAAGCCAGTGAAAGTCAAGGTTTTTTTTGCATTTCTTGTTCCTGCCTGCCCTGGAAATCTTTGCTGTTGCTCAAGCTAGAGCTCAGTTTAAGAAGCTGCCTAAGGATAAAGTTTTGTCATCTTGGCAAAACTGGCTTTCCCTAATACATGTTTAAAGCATTGTCAAATATTGCTTTAATTTAATTATGTTTAAACATATCTGAGATGGCTAAATGGTTTTTGGCTAACTCTACTTAGCCAAAATGGTTAGCTCAGGGATATCACCTTAATCAAACATTTCTCGTTTAAGTCCTTTAATATATTGAATTTGGAAACCATAGTTAAACATGGAACTTTTAAACCACTTTATCAATAAGAATAATTTTCTACTTTGCACTAAATCAAAACCAGGAAAATAATTAGATGAAGAAATTCTTTCCAAGCCCACCGTGAGGGTTCGTGCATTGTAAAGATCAGCTGGTTATTTTTCGGCCAGGATATTTTATTAGTGTATCTGAAAAAGTTTTATATAAGCTGCTCATACTCAGCTGTGATGTAGGAAGCACAACAGGAAAGCAGAAACATATAAGAACAAGTTATGTCTTTTAATGACAAGTAAAGTGTTTGAAATGAAGACAACAAACAGCACAAACAGATTTCATGCTTGTCAGGGAGTCACAAGGCTTTGGTGGCACAGACGGTCCTACTGCGCATTTCCACAGCACCTGTCACAGGGGTCTCTTGCCCTTAGGAGGGCTGGGAGAGGCTGGAGTTAACAGTCTTTTCACTTAATTTGTGTCATATTAATAAATGTCAAATATATGATGTTCTGTGACACTGAATAGCATGTTTTCTAAGCACATCTATCAAGCAGAGCAGATGCATGTCATAGTTTAACTAGAAATTCTAGTATTCCAACATATGTTCCCTTTCATATGCTGTAAGGGGATAAAAACTACTCTGAAATGAAAAGAATGTTTATAACAAGTAAAATCTTGGGGAAAATTTGTTTCTGTGGAATCCATTGGATTACTTTCCCCCTACTTTATTTATTAAATTTAAGTTCAGTAATACATTCCCCTTATGGAAAACTTAGGTTATTGTACAGTATGTCTGTACCATCTACTGAACGTGATCCCAAGGCAACTTTCTTGTCTGGACTTGCAGGTTAAGCTGCTGGGAACAGCAAATGCAGCACAGCCTCTGGATCAGGCAGACTCCACATCCCCCACTGCTGCTTCCCTGCTGAGCTTTCCAGGAAAGCCATCCTGAGGCTGGGAGGCAGCTGCTAGGAAGCCCCCTCCCCATGTAAAAGCTGAGTGCAGTGCTATGTACCTTGTGATTTGAGAGAAGGTGTCTACATTCCCATGTCTGACTTTGTCCTCCCATACACATCACACAGCATAAATGGAGAAATATGTGCAGTGTGATGTGGTAAATGTGGGGTCGATGAGAAGCCCAGCTGGTAATAGGAGATGAGAGGCTGGACAACAAACCCAGTACATTTTAATGTAGTACTAACTCAAAAGAAAGTAGTTCGGATCAATTTATCAAATCAGCCTAGTTTTCTTAAAGTTCTATCCAGAAGGAAACAACATGTTTGTTGACCACAGAAGGTACTAATTCTGCAAAAGATGTTTACTCAGTCCAAAGTATTCTAATGGCAAGTCCCACAGTCACTGTATATTCAAGCAATATTACTCAAGTGTTGTGTATCATGTGTTAGTTCTTTAACAATAATTTTCATTGAACTTTAATACCAGAAGCCAATAATAATAGTATCTAAAAATTTTGTTATTTTGTAGTTATTAAGGTGGGTCTGGCTGCAGAGGGATGAGGAGAAGTGGGGGGAGTGGGCTAGTTACTTCTATCACAACTCTGACAAAATCTAAAATGACACATGATCTCCATAAATGACAGAAGAAGGCAAAGTCCACAGATGTTCCCAGCAGCACTTACAAATCCAAAAGAGACAAAACCCTTCTCTGTGCTCCTGCCTGTACAAATTGCCTGCGGGGTGTTTCGAGAGGAGCTGGAATGTCTTTTTCAAACCGTTCACACTCTGCTGCCTGTGTTCAAGAGATGGGCTTTAAACAGACATGAAAAAAAAGAAGCACATGCTCTGAGTCGGGTTGAGATTTTATTCCATGAGAATGAAATACCTATATGGTGAGCTTTGGAAAAGTTTATTTTGGATCAGTCTATCTCAGAAGTGGTTGCTTTTCACTTCTTAAAACAGTGGGGTAGGTTCAGCTATCTATTCCAACTGCATTAGGGCTGGTAAACCAGGCACGGTGTCTATTTTGCAGCTAATTAGTTTCTGAAGTTAGTAGTTTGAAAAATATAGGAGAAGCCTATAGCTGTTTTTCATTGATACAAAGGAAGTCAAAGCAGACAAATGGGTACAAAAAACAGCAAAAAAATACTACATACATTTTGCCAGCTACGCCCAGGCAATAAAGGCATTTAAGGCATAAACTCAAAAAATATATACCGTACACAAAATGTTGAAGACACGGGGCCCAGTGTGATGGCTGTGGAAACCAAGTCAGCAGCATCGCAACGATGTGATCTTGGCATACACTTAGAAGCTGTGCTAGTGTATATTGCTAGTAACTAGACCACAACCTGGGTAGCAGGGAAGTTTGATACTGCTCTGTCTTTATGAGTTGATGGTTATATTACAAGCCTGAATACCCCTGATGTACTCAAGAGATACACAGCCTTGAGTCACAGTTTGAACCATACATCCCCAGCCAGTAGGAGTTCCTAGCTGTGGGAAAGGACCAGCAGCGCTGCTGTTTGTGTTCAGCATATTGTTTATCTGTTTGAACTTAAGAAAAGCTCTCTTAATTTACCTATGGCAAAAAAGGTCTCTGACACTTGGTGGCAGCCCCTGGTTAGGTATGTAGCACGTGCGCTGGCTGGCAAGTTAGGCAGTGCAGCCTAAGAACTATCTGTGGATTAACGAAGATTCCAGGGACTTAATTGGGCATAAACCTTCACAAGATGAAAAGCTGAAAGAATGCTTTATACAAACTAAAATGTTTGCTGAAGAGAGGATCTGGGGAAAATAACAGCTCATCCAAATCAGAAGTGTCGTAAATCCCAAGGATATACCAACACAGAGACAGGAGGCAAATCTTGTTCTGGTGACGGTAACTTTCTAAATGTGGATAGATCAAGGACACAGAACAAGTAAAGCATGCAGAGAAAGGACAACTGCTTATTCCATGTTTCCCTGCACAGCAGTGTTTAATTTTGCAGTATATTGAATTCAGTATTGAGTCTCAAAAGAAACTTAAATGAAAATCTGGTAGCCTGGTACAGTGCACCAACAGAGCACATTGCCTGGTTCAGAATGGTCTGGGCAGTGCTGTCTGCATGCAGCACCTCTTCCTCCTCTTAACTCCAGCCATACCCACCCTGTGACGGCAGGTTAGGGTTTCACAAGGTGCCACACTGTCTCCCAACACTAAGGGAACAGTGTCTTTTAGGGATCCTTGGCAGAATGATGACGGCACTAGATTGTAGTTACAATTAAAGCTTTATTTTTTTAACAGGATATTATGATTAGTATAGTACAGAATTTGTTATTAGAATGGCACAGGATTTCTACAAGCAGAATCAAATGTAGTACAATCTACATTTTAGTAGATTAAGTAGCATAACACAGAGTTTATACTACAACTTAATTTATAATTACTAATCACCTGGACCCTCTGCAGATTGGATCAAATCTTAATAATGGTTTGCTCTATCAATATAATAATCGTAAACTAGACTTGAAAATCATATAAAAGAATATGAATCACTCCCAGAGTCCTTGGAGGAAGCAGGTGACAGTGGGGGTCTCCCTGGCCTCCCCGGCGTCCCAGGTCTCACTGTCCAGCAGCAGCTCTGGTCCAAGATCCCCACTTAGGACTTGCAACTGCTTGATTTTATGGGCAGTGCTCTGGGTGTTGTTTGGCTTCCCTCTTCTCTGAGGGGGTCATCACTACAACGCAGTGGGCCTAGTGCCTGGGACTTTCAAGGCTGGCAGGAAAGAGAGTAATCAGGCTGGTGCCCAGAAGTCTTGAGGTAGATAGAGAGAAGAAAAAGAAATCTGTTTGGTTTGTCTGTTTGTTTCACAGGACCTTCAGGGCCTGATAATGAGGGA